CCCCCCCCCCCCCCCCCCAAAAAAAAGGGTTTGGTCATGTGTCTGGTGAGGTCTCCTGTTGGCTTGATCTCATACTCTCAGCAGCACAGGTTACTCTTGCAACATGTGCACCCCAGCCAGTGTCATTGCCTTTCTGTGCACCTGAGAAGATGAGATAGATCATTTCTGCACTATGCCTGAATTAACGGGACAAGAGACTATGAGAAATATAATTCAGAAAGAAGTATTACATGCCACAAATCTGGACTGTTCAAAAACTTACGTAAAATTAAAAGGAGAAATTAGCTGACTCTGTTAACCTGTCCATTACAGGAAGCAAATTATGTGTATTTCCAAGTCAGGTAAGGAAGGGTTCTACACCACCATCATTGCCCTCACTTTGCTGATGAAATGAGCATCCCCACAAATGGGCTTAAGCTAACAGGGTACCTCCCTGCATGAGGGAGAAGGGGGGTAGGTTTTTATTGATGAGCTACAGCTGCTTTGCTGGCGAGCTGCTGCCTGACCATCCATTCAGCCATTCAGGTAGCACAGAGGAGCGGCTACTCCTGTGAATGGGTGGCCTGATGCTTGGAAATCTGTGTGTGAGTATGGTAGCAAAACTGTCCAAATTTTCTAGTGAAGCTTAAATACAACCACACAGAAATATATAATGAATACCTGGTCATAGTGTAATTGTAGATAAAACTGGACAGCTTTCAAACCATTCTTTTATTACCCTTCCTGGGTGAGTCACGTGGCAAAATGACTACTGTGAGCATGAGGCAGTCACTTGAAATCTGATCAGATCAGTCTTGCACCACAGCCCAGGCCATTCCCTCTCTCTAAAGAGACACTCCTGCTCTGACAGTCTCTCTGCTACAGGACAGATCCTCCCATAAGCCTTGTTACAGTCCATCCTACTGTGCCCACCTGACCAAATGCTCTTCCTCAATCATCCTTCAGTCCCGACAAATTAAAAAAAGCCAGCATGCCAACATGCTCTTACCTCAAAGAAAATGGGATTATCCCATCTCTGCCATGCAACAGTCCCAAGAGCAACAAATCATACAAAGGACTTCAGTGGAGCTCTGCCCACCCTCTGCTGCTGCCTACTTTGAAGGTGGACAGGGAGACTGATGACTTTCTCAAAACTGCCCAAGTATTTTTCCATTTCAAAATAAAATACATGTACTTGAGTCTCATTAATTCAGGCAGCAGCATCTTTTGCCATCCTGTAGCATCCAGTTGTTAAGGGAGATTACTAAGGAGCTGGGGCTGCCCTGTCCCGAAATCCCCAGAAAGCATAGTAGCTTCCTACCTAGGAATGAAAAAAAATCAATAACTCCATAGTGCAATAAACTCTCTCCTGTGTAGAAGCCCATGATTTCATGTCAAACAAGACATCAGCATAATCAATATCACAGTAAGCAGCTTCCTCTGCAACCACTGAAGAAAATGTGCTGGCTGCATTGCATACGTTTGCCTGGATGACATCTTCCATTGATCTCTCTACCTTCCTTTCTCCCCCAGGCTTGTTTGGGATAGAGGAATCCATTGGAACCATCATTGGGGTTGTGGCAGCTGGTATCGGAGGTGTAGTGGTTCTGATCATTGTTTTAACCCCACAGCTGAGGAGGTGTGTCCTCTGCATGAGACAAGGCTCTCGCCAAGGTAAGGAACACAAGCTAAAATCTGGAATCCCTTGCTAGAAAGATGAACCCAACCGCTTATTTCCAAAGATTTTTTTTTTTTTTAACTTAAGGAGAAATTAGCCATTTACTTACCTCTGGTCAGACACAGGATTTCTGGTTCAGAGAATAACCAGTGTGGATGAAACTCTAACTGGGCTGGCTCTATATTCCATCTCTTTCAGACAGTTCTTTGTTTATGTTGGTGAGAGCTTCACCCATGGGCCTAAGAGTTACCTATAAACAAAATAATACTTTAAACAAAATAAATCTTCTTTCATTCCCACTTTCGGCAAAGAGTTGTTCAATGAGATGTTCCTTCTTCTTTTAACAAAGTCCTGGGTCTCCTTTGGTTTCTTAGGTTTAAGCTGAAGAATGGTTCTTCCTCCCATGAACTACATGCTTACATCCATATTCTTGTAATGCTCGTGTACAGAAAGCCCAAGTGTATGTTGGAGGTGTGGTTTCCCAAGCCCAGTAATATCTTTTAGTAGATCAGCTGATCAATTTGGGAAAACTAGACATTTTCATCACACGTGAGCCAAAGAAATTACTCAAGAAGAGGATGATGTGCCTGAAAGCTCACCTGCTTTTTCCAGCTCTGTCAGCTTGTCCAATTAGAGTAGACTGACGCTGAGGGCTGGATTTTGAAACAAGCTTAGTTCTCTTTTTGTGCAACCCAAGGTGTGGTCTGCCTTTCAGACCGAGCTCAGGTGACTTTTTGCTTTCCGTGGGGAGCCCTGTGATTTTACACCTCTTCTCCCACCACTGGAAAATCTTGCTCGGCCTGCTGGAAAAAAAAAAAAAAAATAGAAATTCCCTCCGCGAAGGGATGGAGGAAGAGCTGCTCTTGGCATTCCCTGGAGCGCTGCCGCCATCTGATGGCCAGCCTGGTGGGGACAGGGACATGGCCAGGAGCCCTGCCCCTGCTTACCGGGGAGGGTCTCCCAGCCTTTGCTGAGAAGGACACCCACATCCCTAGGCTGATGCTGCCCAGACAGCACCATCCCTTTGCAGGCCCTCTGCAGGAACAGAGCTCACAACTTCTTTGCTTGCCAGGAAGCCCTGGAAGAGTTTATTGTGTTCTACTAACTCTGTGTCGCTCACACGCTGCTCCTTTCCTTCCTGCTCTGCGTAGCTTGAGGTGCAGCCTTATGGGAGTTGCTGGAAGATGAAAAACCTACAGGTGGAACAACTTCTGATGCCCTGTAAGCTGCAAATGGAGCTCTAGATGGAATAAAGGCTTTTGCTCAGTATGTGTTGTCTCTGGCATTTTAATTTTTGTTAGTCTGTTTCTTTTTCCCACAGATTTGGAGATTTTCAAGACCCACCTGGATGCAATCCTGAGTAACGTGCTCTGACAAGCTCTGGGTAGTCCTGCTTTAGCAGGGGAGTTGGACTAGATGGTTTCTATGGTCCCTTCCAACTCTAAAAATTCAGTGAAATTCAGATTTGACAGCCAGTGTGGCATATCCAGTATCCTCCTGCAGCGAGGAGCAAAACAGCCTTTTTGTAAAGGAATTTGTATTATCACCTGCCAAAGCCCTGCTTAGTTTGGCCACATACCTCTGAACCCAGACTCCAATGAGGTACCTTGGGTCTGTCCTTGCCATTACCTGTCACTTTAAAGGTGATACACGAAGTTTGTCAGCTGTGTTTCAGAAGAGATGAAAAGAGCCCGACCTACCCAGCTCCCCAGCTGCTAACACCCATTTCCCAAGGGAATGGAATGCACTGCTTCTGGGGGTACAACTGCAGCTCCATCTCTCTGCCCGTCTCCTAAGGAGGCTCTCAGCCCATTGCCTTGCTCCTGCCAGCAGGCTTGTAACGAAGAGGCAAAGGTGGCCGACTTGAACATAGCTATCCTTGGCTGAAAGAATGGGATTTTGGTTTACTCTTGCCAGGAGGAAAGGTAGTGTTTCAATATCAGCCTCTAGTACCCTAAAACGAAGGAGAGATGGAAGATTTGCTTACATGGCTAATGTTATCCACAGCCTCAGTTCCCTGACGTGACAATAATTAATCTCCAGGTTGTTGGTGACCAGGGGGATATGTTAATACTCGCAGAGAAGAGCAGCATATCAGCTCTGAAGTGTGTGTGGCAGGTAAGCTGTGCGTTAGCTTGCAAATTTTGGGCACGCCAACTAGTAAAAGTCAGATCCTGCTGCTGGCCTTGCAACAGCACTAGCCCAGCATAACTCTGCGTACCTTTGAACGTGCCTCAGAAGTGTCCCCAGTGCTGTGACACGCTCAGAAGTGTCCCCAGTGCTGTGACACAGCAACGTGAGGGCTAGAGACAGGTGGCTGTAAAAGCTAAGAAACACGCACGTACAGACCCCCAAGAAAGGATGGAACCCTCCCTTGGCCCAGACTCCACTTCTCCTTTCGGTAGGAAGCAGAGCTTCCCGGAGCACAAATAAGGAATAAGGAGGCATCCTCCCTCTTCGATGTCCCCTCTCCTCCTGCATATCCAGGAAAATAAAATGGATGACTCTACTTCCAGACTGGCACACCTCGGGTCTTCGAAGGCCAGTGTATCTTTTCACAGAGATGGATTTATTTTTTCACAAACCAGTCCAGCAGCAGTCTCCACATATTTTCCAGATCATGTGCAAATGTGTGGGAGCTGAAAGTCAGGCAATGTGAAAGGACAAAAAAGCCATTTGGTGACGGGTGATGTGCTCTCACTGCGCTGCAGACCGAACCCTCCGTTTCAAAGGCAGCAAAGCAGGATCTTCTCCTTACTTCAGCATACATTTTACTCTGTGCCTCCTCCCCATAAACCCTGGACTGATAGAAATTCTCTCACACCACTCTTAGCTCTGGTAAAAGAGGTAAAATTTTATTCCAGCACCTTTAGATTCAAAGGGTTCGAAGAAAGGTCCTAAAAAGACTATTCTGCCCCTCCATATCTGAAATGGCAGGTGGGATGAGTCTGTCCACATAGAAAGTCTGGCCAGAGGATGAAGTGTGGGTTGTACGGAGCTGCTCCCCAACACTTGGCTGCTTCTTGATCGCACAGGCACACCATTTTTTCACATCGATCTGTCAGGTTATCTGCAAAAGAAAATGTGAGCAGAGGATGAGAGATTATGTATTGGACAAAGGTGAGCAACAGTTTTAAGAGGAATGGTTCCCAAATAAATCAGTTCTTAGGGAACAGAGGCTGTGGAAGCAGGAAGAGAGGAGGACCAATATGTTGTGTTGTGTATAGATCTGACCCTCTCCTGTTCTGTCTCTGTCAACAGGTCTCACCTTACCTGGGACCAAGAGCATCAGAAAGTAGCAGCTAAATGTGAATTGGCAATAGATATAAAAATCTTCCCAGCACAGAGCCCTCCCCACTTCTAGAGCTGTGTGAACAATGGGAGTTTAGTTCAGTGGCCAAAGAAAATTATTTTAGCTTAGCCTGAGCTAAAAATATTCAGATTTCCCTCAGTCAGCCAATTTGCCTCCCAGCTCCTCCCTCAGCAAATCTGACCAATTTTTTTAAAAGAAAATATGATGCTTTAAAAGGAAGAATCTCCTGGAGGGACATTTGGAAACCTGGGTGCATAAAAGAACCCACCGGGCATCCTTCACTCATGCTCCATGAGTTGCTCTTGCATCTCTCTCTGATCATGGCAGAGGAGCCAAGAAACTCTGCAGCAGGGTCAGGAACCTCATTTTTGTGAGTCAGCAGCTAAAGAAGCTGATCAAAATCATACATATGGAACTATTTATAATGTAATTATATGACTACATGTCTAGGTAATAACCCTAAGGTATATCAAAGCAACTAGCTCAGGTGGCTATGTTGCAAATGACCAATTTTGGGTTAATGAACCCCATTCCATCTATGGATGGCTATAATGCAGCCGTTGGGCTAATATTAATTCAAAGCACAGTGCCTTGTCTATTTGAGGCTGCTGTTATGGAATATCTAACACCCACCGAACTCTGCACTAGGCAAAATTTGAAGTGTAACTTCACGCCAGTGCACATGGGCTTTGCTCCAAAATCAATTGCAATGAGTAGAGGAATCCTTCCAGATTTCACTGGACTTTGCTGGGTCAACCCTGTATCCAATAAATAAGAAGAGCCCATATTTTTTAAGCTTGTCTGAAGAATCATGTTTATCAGTAAAAAGTATTTCAAGGGTCTAACTGATGAGGACTTAGCACTAATTCCATTTTTTTCTTAACTACCAGTCCTGCCTGATTTTCTCCTTGCTCTCTGCTCCTAGAGTTCTTCCTATGCCCTGCCAACCACTGTCCATCTAATGTGAGTACAAGAGTCTGGCTTGGCAGTCATTTCTGTTAGAGCACAATGATTTTTTTGACCAGCCCCCACAACTTCAGGCTTTTCTATATTCCAGATATTTATTGAATAGAATTTGTCTACATATGATGGCATACCTGGACTGAAAAATATGGTTTTGCCATATTTTGCATTCCACAAACAAAACTGCCTAACAGTAGCAGAAGGAGGAGAAGTCCCAAGTAAAATGGGGTTCTATTTAATTTTCCTGTTTGTGATACAGTGCCAGGCAACAGGCATTTATTTCCTCTCACATAGAAAGGACAGTGCAAGCAGTTCTGCTTCTGAAGTTTCTGGACATCATTACCCGAGGCCCAGCAGGCATGCCTGGAAATTTAATTCTTCATCCCTTTTGTTTGAATTGGATCAGGCATCAGTCATCTGTCTGGACTTCTGTAAGGCCTTTGACTCGGTCCCCCACAACATCCTTCTCTCTAAATTGGAAAGAGATGGATTTGATGGTTGGACTGTTCAGTGGATGAAGAATTGGTTGGATGGTTGTATCCAGAGGGTAGTGGTCAATGGCTCAATGTCCAGATGGAGATCAGTGACAAGTGGTGTCCCTCAGGGACCGATACTGTTGAGTATCTTCATCAATGATACAGTGCACCATCAGCAAGTTTGCAGACAACACCAAGCTGAGTGGTGTAACTGACATGCCTTAGGGTCAGGATGCCCTCCAGAGGGACTTGGACAAGCTCATGAAGTGGGCCTGTGTGAACCTCATGAGGTTCAACAAGGCCAAGTGCAGGGTCCTGAACTTGAGTCAGGGCAACACCAATATCAATCCAGGCTTTGATGGTATGAGGGCAAGTTTTACTCTCACATGTTTCTTTTAAAAACTTTTGAAGTGTTCTACAATGGATTTTACCATTTTTGGAGACTTAGAAATAGAAGTGACAGATTCTAAGACTTAAGTCATCTGGTGTATGTCAAAACAAACTGGTGTGAGCAGCTGAGAGGCTGTGACTGTGCAATTCAAGACCTTCTTGACTGGGTACCAGCTGTAGAGCTGAGCACAGCCTACACTTGCAGTATGCCTGAGGCACTCGAGAGCATTTGCTTCTGCAAGCTTCAAAATTCCCGCTGGAGCCCTCAGGCTTTGGGTTGGAGCCCCACAGGGGGCAGAGATGCAGGCTGGCACCCTGTTTAACCTGTCTTGCAGCCATGCAAAATAGCATTGCTCTTCTCTAGCACTACGGAACAGTAAGTGAAAAAGTCAACAGTCCTGCTGGAGGGAGGGCCAAAACTGCCACGGGAAGACCACCCCTGCAGACCACTGCACAGCTGTGGGAAGAGGTCAGTGAGGAGCAGGCATGCTTAATGCCAGGGAGTGGAGACCCTCCAGAGGGGCATCTGCATCCCTGCCAAACTGAGATGGCTTGGGGGCTCCATGGTCCCCAGTCCCATTCTTCGGCCTGGGTAGGATTCAGGTTACCTGGAATGGGTGGTGCTGATAGCTCAGCATACAGAGCTACCTCTGAGGCCCATAAAGCTCTTCAATCAGCCTAGTGCCTGCAGAGGAGGGAGCAACACGAACCCAAGGTGAGGGAGCATTTCCTTACCACACCGCACGGTGTTCTGCTCACACACCCACTGGTAGCGCTGTGCCTTGGGGCTGCAGCCTTCCTTCTCTGCCTTGTCATAGCAGCAGTCGTGCCTGTGGCAGCACCTGGGAGAGAACACAACATAGAGTTTGGGTGTCTTCCTGCATCCTGGAGTATGTTTTGCTCAGGGATGTTTGCCCATACTCCACTCACATACCGCTCACGGCAGCAAGGTTTGCCCTGTCCAGTCAGTAAATCTGTTGATGAACCAAGTGCCCTGACAGAGGGATGGAGCACCTCTCCTATGAAGACAGGCTGAGGGAGCTGGGATTGTTCAGCCTGGAGAAGAGGAGGCTCTGGGGAGACCTTATAGCGGCCTTTCAATAATCGAAGGGTGCCTATAGAAGAGCTGGGGAGGGACTCTTTGCCAGGAAGGGTAATGATAGGACAAGGGGAAATGGTTTTAAATTGGAAGAAAAAAGATTCAGATTAGATATCAGAAAGAAATTTTTTACTATGAGGGTGGTGAGACACTGGAACAGGTTGCCCAGGGAAGTTGTGGATGCCCCATCCCTGGAAGTGTTCAAGGCCAGGCTGGATGTGGCCTTGAGCAACCTGCTCTAGTGGGAGGTGTCCCTGCCCATGGCAGGGGGGGTGGAACTAGATGATCTTTGAGGTCCCTTCCAACCCAAACCATTCTATGATTCTATGACATCTGCGTGGCAGTTCACACAGCTCAGGAGTTCATTAATGCCGTATTTGCTCCCACGGCCACCGTGCTTTTTCCTCAGAGCTTTTGCCCTCAGAAAGGCAGATGGGGTCAATACATGGTAATCTCACTGAAAAGGAGCTGAAGCATTCCTATGAGGTGTGCGATTACGGCTCACCAGCTTAGGCTTAGACCCATCCCAGGCTTTGGAGTTGGGATGTTTTTTGCCTTCCTCAGCATCACCAGGCAGCTCCATCTTTTCAGTTCACCTGGACCTGTCACGTACTTTTTGGCCCATCCAGTTTCTGAGGGTTCACTACAAACTCATCAGCCTCCATGGTGGAATTCATATCAGTTAACTTCAGATCCCTAAATGTAAACATCTACATCTAAACATTCCTTTTATTCATGTCTGGGGCACAGTTATTATTACACTACTAAGATCTGACAGGTGAAAAACACTGCGTTTGAAAGTGCAATTGCCTTCCATTGACCACAGAGGGGGCTGAGGGTGACTAGCTCAGCTGATGACGTTTGTCCTACAGACCAGTCAGTGAGACAATTCCCACTGTCAATTACTTCAGAGTTTATGGAAAACTTGACCCTACTTGAATTTTAGTCTGGTAATTTAGAGACTCAAAATACACGAAGAAAAGATTCAGCACTTAGAGGTCCTCTGCCAAATAGCAAAGTTTTTTTCAAAGATGTGAGGTCAGAGGCCAGAGCCAGAGAGGAGTGACCTCCGGCGTTTCCAGAGGTTGTCCCTGCAAGATCACTGGGACTCTACAGAGAAACCACTCTACTAACTGGGAAGCATCAAGGCAGGCTGATATTAGTGGTAAATGAAGAGCAGACAGCTTTTAGAAAAGCTCTTGAGTCCTAGATGTCAATCTGTTCAAGAGGTTGATGAACTGGCCAAGAGGGAGCATGGATGTGCTGATTGCCAATAGATTACTAAATCCAGTTGAAGACTTTGATTGTTACCTTCAAGACCTGAGGCTGGTGTGCCTGAAAAGCCAATAAAAGTCTGGGACCCATCATTATGTTCCTCTGGAAAAGTGCAACAACCCTGCAAGAAGGATAAAGATTTCTCGTGCAGGAAGCGGGGCTTCTTCGGGGACCCATCTGGAGATGATAGTACATCACTGGAGAGCCCAGGAACATCACAAGTTTCCCCACCCTCTGCTGTAGGAGGATTTTGCCCTTTTAGAAATTGTTTTACGGATATGAGGGCTGGTGGGCTCCATGAGGTGATAAGCCCAGGAGAGAAAACAACAATTTTTTAAGTGTGAAGAAGATGATCCACCGCTGACGCAAATTCTAATAAAATCACTGGAAGTAGATCAGGTGAATCATGTGAAAGAGACAACAGAATCAGACCAGTCAGATCAAATTCATCCTTCATGTAATCCCTGTGATTACACATAGGCTGAATTTAGTCCAGTGTGCTTTCCCTACTGACTGAGCTCTCAATTTAGTAGTTAAAAGTAGCAATTTCATCCCACAGATGAGTCTGCAAACTAAATGCCTTTTTTTTTTTCTCCTCAGCTTGCAAAGATGAAAACTGTGTGATGATTACGACCAGAATACTGCATTGTAAAACCTAGAAATGTAAGTTAGCAGTAGCAGACTAGTACCTCATTCCATGCTAGCTCTTTGAAGGGCTTCAGAATGGGACTAAGCCCTATGGGATATACATATCTAGAAGCTTTCCCATGAGGAATTACAGCAGTTGCTGTAATTGAGAAGACCTTGTTCATCCCATGGAACCAGTTCTGTTGGACACGATGGCAGTAACGGGCTGTGGGTCAGATCTTTGTTGGTCTGGTAACGTCTCTCTCCTAGGCTTGTCCTGAAGAGGTTCGATATGAAAGGCCAAAGGAGAGAAGAATTTTCAGCCTCATGGAAAGTGTGAGAGTCTCAGCTTTCTCCAATGTTTGAGTCCCTATGCAATAGGTCATGATATAACAAAGATGTGCTATGGCACTGAGCTACAACTGGGTCCTGTGTCATCTGGAAGAGTTGCTGTAGTCCAGAGCACCCTGGCTAACATACCTGAAGCTGCAGTGCAGCCTCATCCATCCTCAGGGAGGATGATAGATAGTAGAGCAGGCCCATCATTGGCATCTCATATATGGGGGACAGAGTACAAGAGGCCACAGTGGAGAGCCATGAATCAGGTTGAGCTGAGCAGGAGTGCAGAATCATAGGGTTTGTGAGGTCTGGGGAGTCAATCAATAGTCAAATTGGTAAAGCTGGTGTCAGTGGTGGAGGAGGAACAACGCCAAGGCAGACTGGCAAAGGGAGAAGTTAGGAGCCTGCATGCCAAGCTAATGAAATTGCTCTTCATGGAGAGCCAGAGGGAAGGAAGAGAAAAAGAAGAGAAGTGAGAACAGATCCTGGAGTGCGCAAAAGGTGGTCTGTGAATCAGGAAAGGACAAGCAGGTGAGCACCAGAGAAGTGTACTAGCTAGCTGTGAGAACTCACTGCTCCTTAGCTGGCTTGGCAAAATCAGAGGGATTGTATAAATTCTGCAGGACCACAGAATTTGGGGCACAATTCTGCTTCCCCTTACCCCAGTTGCTCCTGATGATGCCCATAGCTGCAGCGGGGTGACATGTGGCTTACACCAACACAAAGCGAGAAGCCTTTGGCTCATGTTTTACAAACATCTGTCAGATGCGCTGAAAGATCTGCCAGGGAATGAAGACTGAGGAAACCTATTGTCGTCTTTTGCCACCTTCAGATGATCCCTTCCTGTCTGGAAATACCCTTTCCTATACATGGGTCACAGTGTGGTGTTAAGCATTTAATTATATTTTAATAACAAAGGTGCTCAGTTAGACCAAAATAAACAGTCAGCCAACACGATGGCAAGGCACTGGTCAACAGGTATGGAAAACAAATACAACTGTGTCATCTAGTTAGTAAGCAAGTTATTCATCAAGTCCGGGCTAGGAGACAGCCCTAGTGGCTACAGACAGCCCCGGCTGGCCCACAGGGATCAGCTGGCCAGACCCCTGCCGTTAAGTAAATGCCATTAAGGTAAGAATTTGTCATGTTGTGTGTGTTAACATTAACAGCACAGCCACCACTGTGTGTCCTTTTGTTCTGCTTTAACTCAGCAACTGAGAGGAAATCTTACCCTTCCCTATGAGTTTGCCAGGACTTAGATGAGCCATATATGCCACCCTGCCTTTCCCTGCATTCAGGGTTTTCAGGGATATGCTGAGCACCTTCATAGAATCATAAAATAGAATCAGCTAGGTTGGAAGGGACCTTTCAGATCATCTAGTCCAAACATCAACCCAACACCAACAAAAAACATCACTAAACCATATCTCTAACCACTATGTCTACCCATCTTTTAAATACTGCCAGGGATTCCCTGGGCAGTCTGTTTCAATGCTTGATAACTCTTTCAGTGTAAAGATTTTTCCTAATATCCAATCTGAACCTCCCCTGGGGCAGCTTGAGGCCATTTCCTCTTGTTGTATCACCTGTTACTTGGAGAAGAGACAAACCCCCACCTCTCTACGATCTCCTTTCAGATAGTTGTAGAGAGTGATAAGGTCTCCCCTCAGCCTCCTTTTCTCCAGGATAAACAATCCCAAGGTCCTGCTTTAACAAAATGGGTGCTGCAGCAATCCCAGGGAGCAGAGAGGGGAAGGAGAAACAAATCTATCGACTTTATGCAGAAGAGATGCCATTATGTCTTGAAGTGATGGGACTGTGAGAGTGGAACAAAAGGGAGAAGGTAATTACTGACAACACCACATCAAAGTCAGCGTGTGGAATAAACCTTATAAAAGGATTACCCACTCGATGGCATTTTATCTTTTCCCACAAAAGAGAGGTGCTTAGAAGCACTCTAGCCTTGTCTAGACAGATTGACTGAATTACTCACAAGAAAATTACTCCCGTTGTAAGGGTCTCGGTTACAAACCTAGAAGTGTCAAGGGGGTGAGTAATTTCAAACAGTGTTTGTCACTCATAGCCAGTAGTTTTGCCACTCTGCTTCTTTCTTTTTTAGAATGGCAAATATGGAAAATAATGTGGTCACTTTTGACAGGCATGGAGTACTCAACCACACTGACTTTTGCAGTAATTCTCAGAAATGGATACCAGAAGATTCCTCGAGCAAACAAAAGATGGAAATTTTTAGGGCTAAATCTAGTGGGGCATTGTCAATTCTTCCTTTGTTAAGAACCTAACCAAAAACTTTTCTAGTTTGGTTTTGGTTTTTTGTTTTTGTTTTTTTTTTTTCCATAGAATCATAGAATGGTTAGAGTTGGAAGAGACCTTAAAGATCATCTAGTTCCAAGCCCCTTGCCATCAGCAGCAACACCTCCCACTAGACCAGGTTGCTCAAAGCCCCATCCAGCCTGGCCTTGAACACCTCCAGGGATGGGGCACCCACAACTTCCCTGGACAACCTGTTCCAGTGTCTCACCACCCTCAGAGTAAAGAATTTCTTTCTCGTATCTGGTATAACAAATGCACTTAAAGGATCCAGCTGCCTTTTTACAGGCTATCTGGTATGTTGAGGGATTTTCAGTTGCAGAGTCCTCTTTTGCTGCCGTTAGGATAAAATCCACATCCCATGGAAATCACACGGCACCAGAAACACTGGCTGATGAACACAGGGCCATATCCTACTTTCTCTGTTTTTCAGGAGTGTTGACCACTTGCATCTCTCAGAGTCACCTAAACTTAGGGTCACCCAATGTCTATGGAAAACAGCTTTTAGGTGACTCCACTCAGCCCTTCAGTAAAAATACTCCAAATTAGTGAAGTTCTGTTTTACTTTAAAGGCTTGGTTATGAAAGTTGGTAAAGGGCTGTCAAAAATAAGATACCACCTACAGCAGTGTCTATAAGTGTGTAATAAGCAGGTCAAGCAATATTACTGAAAATTAAAAGTACTCTCTACACCTGAAAGCTATGACACTTTGTAGGCAGTTATTCATTTTTTGTAAGTCCCATATTGACCCTTTCATAGATTAAATGTTTTACAGGTACAAACCAAGGATGTGAAGAGAGAGCTTTAGGAGGGAAAATTCTCACTGTGTTAATGAAGGTATCTCCACTAGTTTTAAGGGATGCTTGCTCTTTTATCCCCCACTGGGGAGCTGGTCTTTGGCATCTTTTTCTCCTTTTTTCCCCTCTTTTTCTGCCCTGCCCATTCAGCGAAAGTTTGGTTTTGTAGCAATGCAAAATGTCTCCAACAGCTGGATATCCTGGAAAGCTTGGTTTCCTTCCCAGTGAGTTGCACCCTGCCTTCAAACCTGCTAAAAGCAGTGCTTGCTTATCAGTAACACAACAACCTGTCCTGTTGCCTGTAGATAAACAGACAGACTTGTGTGCTCTATCTTAGAGGCTTAAAACCAGACAAGATTGCAAATAAGGGGCTCAGAGGACATCAGAGTCCACCATGCGCAAGATTTACATATATGCTAATCACCAAGAAACCTTTGCAACACCTCCTAGACTCATTGCTTTTAGTCTTGGGAATAACAAGCACAGTATCTTCCCCTCTAACAAAGAGCAGGGTAAATAACACCATGCTCTGCCCTGTTCCTGCTCTTCCTTGATTCAGTGTGAACCAACAGGCAATAGGTTTGATTGCTCCTCGCAGTGATGGGGATTTCCTCCAGAGGATAACCAGTGGTATTCCCATGCTGCCATTTTCAGGACCTGGGTGAAATAACTCTCCAAACACCTTGTTCACTCCCCTCTTTTACAGGCAGGGCTTGCTCTCTATGAATAAACATGCGGCTATTTGAAGAAATCATATCCTGGTTCCTCCTTTGCCTTCCACCTCATATAGTACAAGGTCCCAAGAGCTCTGCTCTCATCCAGAAGGTGGTTAAACCCTCATTCAAGGTGGTTAAACCCGCATTCAAACCGCAAATGATACATGGGTCCCCACTCACAGTTCTCCAGTGCAGTTCACATATCTTAAGTTCCCCCTCCACAAGGCAGTAACAAGTCCACCAAGTCACAGGAATACGAACAGGGAAGGCTGGGGATATCTCCACTGCTTCCAGACACATAGTTGAAGTTCTTCTTACCAGTCTGTTTTATCTTTAGGCCAGCCTTGTCCTCCCAGTCCACAGTAGCATCCATAGCCAATATATGCCAATGGAGACCGTCCCGTTCCGCACGATATAGCTCCTGCCAGCTCGATGATTCCTCGGGTGTGCAGTGAATGGGATTTTCCCAAAGCACCTTCCCAAACTGCAAAGACAGAACACGGCCTCACACAGGGATTAACCACACCTGGCACTGATTTTCTGGAAGTCTTTAGAGGGAGATTTTTTTGGTCTTGGCTGGTTGGTCGGGTGCAGCCTTGACACTGGGGTTAGCCATAGCATTCACCTTGCAAAGGGGGCTCTGCAGGGGCTTCACCTCAGAGCTGGGCTGTCCAGGGGCAGGGGCAGAAGTATGCAAGCAGGATATTTCTGCAGAGGGAGCTCAGCTGAAGCAAGACTAACTAAGCTCTGGTGTGTGATGGTCCCTATGTTGCACCTGGGAGCAGTGCACCTGGTTTTGCAGATCATGGAGCCCCTGAGCTGTGAAGCTCTGCAGGGCTTGTCCCAGCACCGTGCAGAGCCAGCCGGGCTTCGTTGCAACCCCACAGCTCCCAAATCTGGGAAAGCTTACTAGCTATGCTGTGGTCCCAGGTGACACAGGAAGCAGCAGGGGGCAAGCACACAACCAGACCTAACCTGGGCTCTACGGGGAAAAAAAAGAGGTTTCAATGTTGCCCAAGATTTCTTATACTAGCTAAGTTTCCCCTACTATTCAGCATATTTTAACCCATTCTCCAGCTGGCAAAGAGCTGACAGTACTATTCATTTGCATACAGGCATGACTACAAGTGCCCAAGCCCTTAAGATATACTTTGTCAAGGACAGAGGGCCTACATTAGCCAAGATGTATGTATAACAGTTTTCTTTTGAGTGTGTGGAAATGCTGGCTACATTTACATCTGCTTCCGTTGTTACGTTCCATTTAAGTCGTAACATCAGGTCAGCTGCATTAATTTGGAAAAATAAAAAGAGGAGCCCTGTGTCAGCTGACGTGTGCAGATGGCCACCCAAACCGGTCTGGAGTTTTTTGAGTTACGAGTCTTTCAAACAGCGTTGTGCTTTGGCAGGGAGTTGGACTAGATGATCTCCGAAGGTCTCTTCCAGTCCCTACCATTTGTGATTCGGTGTGATTTCACATGGGATTTCACTTGCAACTTCCTTAGAAACCGCAGGCTCTTCCTTGCAGTAACTGTTACAGAAACCAAGAGTACCCTGCCCCTAAAACTCAAACCACTATGATGCTCAGCTGAAAATGTTGATGCTTACAACATTAACAATAGCAACAGGCGGGAGTATTTATTGCCTGCCTTTACTGTGAAGGACCAAGTGGGCTTAACAATAGCCTGCCTTTACTGTGAAGGACCAAGTGGGCTTTGCACTGCTCTGTGGTGCATGGCAAAGCCACTCACCAGTAGCATCAAACCCCTCAGGTGACTGCCCGACCCATCCATTCGTGCCACCCAAAAAGAAAAGCCTGCCTGTGTGGGGTGGGGGGGATGTTTTCGGGCAGGCTGGGAGGGAGAGGGTGGTGATGGCTGGGATCTGGGAACCTGCCACCAAAGTTGCTTTGCCATCTGCCCCCGGCTGCTGCAGCACGCTTGACCTCTTCAAAGTGCTATGCAAACATGGACTAATTAATCCCCTAAACCACCTGAGGACTCAATACTATTATTAAAACAGTTGCTTTCCTTTTAAAACCTCTCCTCTAATCCTTTCCCTTGGGCCTCCCCCTGCATCTCCTGGGCTGGCTGGCCCTCCCAGCTTCATCCAAACCCCCTGCAAGGACAAGGAGGGTCTCTCCCCATGAAGGACAAGGCAGGGGCTTTGCTCCCTCTCTGCATCCCATGCCCCTGGCGGGAATGAGCACTTCCCTTCACCATTTTTGCCCCAGTGATCAGTGCCTCAGACCATCCTGGTGGGGGGGGGGGAGGTTCGCACAGCCTCCTTATGCTTCCCAGGGCATTCCTTGGGGATTAAATGCACATTCCTGTAAAAGTAACCGCGCTGCTCACCTAAACACTGCTTGAGTGTTCAGGTTTCGTGCTAAAAACACATTAGGTGGGTGTTATTCGAGACTAAAGAGACAACCTATTTCCCTTGTCTAAACAGCCAGGGCTCCGGAGTCAGGAGCTGGCTCAGCTCTCAGGGTCCCCAGGGGAAATCACAAGCAGTGGGAGCTGGAGTGAGCCGGAGTTTGGGTTAAAAATCATGCTTTTTTCAACCTGTTGCAGTTTGCAGACCCTGAAAATGTTCCAATGTAGACAAAAAGTTCTTTGTAGGCATTCAGGCCTCCTGATGAGCAGCTTGCATATTTTTTTTTTCAGCTGTATTTCGTTGACCTCTTAAACCAGGACTGCTAGACTTGGTCGTGCTGGCCGCTGGCTGAAAAGAGCCAAGGCTGGTGTACGGTAACTGCACCTCACCCAGAAGAAAAAAAGGCCATTCTTCTTTTGGGGATATCTCTGAGGATCAAAGAACTGTAATTACAGTGCAGGGCTGCTCATGAAAGCGGAGAGAAAGCCCCAAAGGGAATTGAGTCCAAGAGATGGTGCTTCGGGATGTGTGGATGTGTGCTCGGTGAGAGCTTGAAATAACATGGGCATCCAGGAGGCCCCTGATGTTCCTGTTTCGTTCTTTGAAAGCTGGCTGGGTTTTGGGCTGTTGGCAGGTCACTGCAGCTCAGAGGTCAGCCCCAGCAAGCACATTTCAATATTCAGGTGCACAGCTAATAACTTGACCAAGAACTGAAATTGCTTTTTCTATGCTGGGCAGCCAAGCCAACGTGGCTTCTCAGAGAGCCTTGAAGAAGTCCAAGGCTCCACAGCAGCCTACATGGAGCCTCATCTCCCATTAGGAGCATGTCCTATCATTAGCTAAATTGCTAACGGGGCGTTTTAGCAGAGAACATACCTGTGGGGAGGTAAGCTGGGGTGGATCTGACAATTTACACTATTTCCTGCTTAAACAGGCAGCCTTTGCTATAGATTAAAGCAACATTTGGGGGTTTATTTTCAAACTGTACTGCAGGTTTAACCTTAGACCTGCCAGTTTAGTGTTGGGTTGTCTCTGTGTGTAGGGGCTTTATGTTAGCAGACATTTTAACGCTTCCATTTTAACATTTAGACATCAAGGATTTTTTTTAAAAAAACTATTTTAAATTGGGATGAATTGGAGATTGCTTACTTCACAGTCACTGGTATTAAAAGAGGGTATTTCTGTGAAGAAATGGAGAAGACAACAACTTTGTAGCAGAAAACTACCCAAAGAGAAAACGACCTGTGTTTACACAGCCCCAGCTCTGCAAACTGCCAGGGAATCAAAGCAGGCAGGCGGCTCCCTTAATGCAGCCCCTTGCTATCAAGCTGAAAAGAGTTGAAAAGCAATGCTTTTATTTTCCTCACTTGCCCCCACCATTCCAAGGTGCCCGCTGTGAAGCAGGCAGAGCTGACAGCAAGGGGAGAGGCTGCCCTGGGATGTCGGGGAAGGCTCGGGGAGGGAGAAGGACGGAGAGGTGGTACTCACCTGCCTGAAGCAGCATCAGCATCACCATGGGCAGGCGGGATGCCATGGGAAGATCGCTCCCGTCCTCCTGTACACCAGGGATTCGGCTGCCAGGGTGGCTGGCAGCACCTCACCAGGTGTGGGTGTGCTTAACAATCCTCCCGGCCCGCTGCTCCGGGGTTTATATAGACATGGCTCTGCGCCCATCCCAAGAGAAACACCCTCCTCGGCGGGCTCACGGGGAGAAGGCGAGGGCTGGCTCTGTTTGCCAACCATCGCCTTTGGGAGGGAGGAAGGGAGGGAGGGAGGGGCTGCTGGAAGGGCATAAGGGCTGGCGGTCCCCGGGACAACCCCAGACACCCAAGGCACTAAGCCGGGCTCCTTCCTTAAGCTGTTTGCTCACAGACCCTGGTTAACCTCTGAGGAGCTGCGGGAAAGGGAAGCCTGTGACCGGGCTTTCTGTGGCTTGGGCTCGCCGCTGGGGCGTCCCCCTGGCAAGGATTTTCTCTTTTTATAGACTGCTCTTTCCAGGGTAATGGTTTTTTTTGTCGGTTTTTTTTTTTTTTCAATTATTTTATTTTAAGACTGATTATTTTTCACGTTTAAAAAAGAAGGGACAAAACTATAAAAATCCAACAGAAAGAATACTGTTAGGTGCAAGTATCTAATTATAAGCTGACCAGGAGAGCTAATTCTGTGCCACTCCCAAGGGAAAAATACCCTCCTGGCTTGTTGCTGCACCTGACCAAGGGTAATTAATTTCTTGGAGACTTGTCAATACTGACAAGTGAGTCCTAGCCACAGCAAATAAACCAGACACTGGGGACAGTCCCACTGGGCCAGCCGTGCTCTGGTCACAGTGGGCAGCAGGATGGGCAAGGTGGCCTCTCCATCACACAGAGGAAGCTTGAGTAGGAGGGATGGCCAGGCTTATTTTGTCTTTGGGATTGAAATAGTTTTACCCAGCCCTCCAGGGCTAGGGATAGGACAAGGGGAAATGGTTTTAAATTGGAAGAAAAAAGATTCAGATTAGATATCAGGAAGAAATTTTTTACTATGAGGGTGGTGAGACACTGGAACAGGTTGCCCAGGGAAGTTGTGGATGCCCCATCCCTGGAAGTGTTCAAGGCCAGGCTGGATGTGGCCTTGAGCAACCTGCTCTAGTGGGAGGTATCCCTGCCCATGGCAGGGGGGTTGGAACTAGATGATCTTTGAGGCCCCTTCCAACCCAAACCATTCTATGATTCTATGATTCTAAAACCCCTGCTTTGCTTGGTACAGCAGCCACCCATCCACCTTGTCGGGCTCTGAGCGTCTGCCCCTTCCCTGGTGTGGGCACGGTGGGCAGAGCTGGCTGCTCTGTCGGGAGAGGGAGAGGAGGGGATGAAGGGGGCTTGCCCCTTCCCCTCCTCAGCAGCACCCCTTGCCCGAGTTCCCCGTGGTAAAAGCTGTGTCTCCATTCTCAGCGGTGTGGTTTTAAATATTTTCTTGCTAAATATTGGAACTCATATCAAAGGTCGGCAACAAGTCACTGACAGGGCTGCCTGCTGCTGGGACCAGCCCCACCACAGCAGCTGGCACGCTTTCTCATGCAGGTTCTCATGATCAGATATGTATCGGGTGCCTTTGGTACAGGGCAAAGGAGACAGCAGGGGTACATCTCATGACAACCGTGAGCCCCAAATCCCCTGCCCCCCACTGCGACGGGCCCAGGGGCCCAGGAGGAGCTGCGCAGCTTACACCCCCTGCCTCGGAAACTCCCTTCAGTAATTATACATTTACTCAAGTAATAATGCCAAGTCCTATGTATGTGAGCGGTTGCTGGCTAATATTTAACCTTAAGAATATAAGTTTGCGGAAGGAGGATGCCGGAGGGTGGGTGTGCTGCATTCAAGGCCTCTGTGGATGCAAGTCCTCAAATAGGAAGTGCAAAGCAAGCAGCAGGCTTGGAAACACCACCTGGGGCCTGGCTGAACAAGATCATAGAATCACAGAATGGTTGGAGTTGGAAGGGACCTTAAAGATCATCAAGTTCCAACCCCCTGCCATGGGCGGGGACACCTCCCACTAGAGCAGGTTGTCTGTTAGAGCAAGCTCCATCCCTGACAGATGCCTGGTGGGCCCCATTCTTAAGTGGGGACCAAGGGGGAATTGTGAGGAACCTCTGCAGATGTTTTATGGGATTCCCAAGGTCCCCAAGCCTGGGGAAGAGCCTTCAGTTGCCCAGAGTGCCTACGCTATAACTGGGATTTATCAGAGTCATTTGGGTTTGAAAAACCTGCATTTAGTCTTGTTCTTTCAAAGCCTTCCTGAATTACAAACCTGATCAAGAAAGGCATTAGAAATTTCCAGACCACACTTTAATCCTCTTCTTCCCTTTTTCACAGCCCTCTGCCCCCAAATAATAGATGAGGTTTCTGTCCTCAGTTCAGCAATAAACACACACACACAAAAGAAACACAGGCTCCTTTGATACCCAAATGTATCTGCAGTGTTGGAAGAAGACTATTGCATGGTGTTTGGGAGGGATGCCCAAATTCAAACTCAAAATGGGAAGTGGAATTAATGTATTGTTTCCTTGTGATGGTTTCACAGTGCTGACTGGTCAAGTTTGTTATTTATCTGTGCAATTATTGATTACTACTGCCTAAGTTAATCGGCATATTTATCAAATAGTATTAAGTGCTAATTGTGGTCTTACTATGTTATAGCAAGTGCTCTGGGATCAAAAAGGCATTTTTATTACCGTTTAGGGAAACAAAATTAATTCCCTGGTCCTACTCCTTCACGTGCTTTTTGCATGTTACCTGCTTGAGCTCCAGTTCTTTCTAGTAGCAAGAGGCAGGGTGTTGGGTATCACCTCAGCAGACTGAGCGATACAGACTACTGGCTCCCCAAAACTGCATGAGGAATAAACCTACTTTGGGCATCAGGGCACTCACATGAGGCAATCAAACCATACTGTTGGAGGGCTATTTCTTCAGATGAGCTCTGAGCTCTGCTGCAAACAGAGTTGCCTTGGTTTGCAGCACCAAAGCAGCTGGTTCTCTGGGATGATACTACCTCATGCTCCTGGACTGCATGTTGCGGAAAGATACTGTTAGGGAGAAGTTTCCGGTTGAAGGGGAGAAGAATTTATGAGGACTCCACAGTTTTTAATGATGTTTACCCCATGAGGTTCATGATGTTAGTTGTTCTTGTAGAAGCCAGGCTGTCCTTCATCCCATAGAGGCTGTTCCTCCTCAAATGAAAATACCCAGCCATCTCTGTGGATGTGACCACCAACCACAAGATGAGGTCTCTGGTCAACACTGGCAGGTTCAATGATGCATTTTCTGCCCAGGCTAAGGGCTTTTCCCACAAGGGGTAGAGGAAGAGGGCTAAAAGATGATTAGGGACCTGGAGCATCTCCCTTATGAGGAGAGGCTGAGGGACTTGGGTCTTTTTAGTCTGGTGAAGAGAAGGCTAAGGGGGGATCTTATCAATGAGTATAAATACTTAAAGGGAGGGTGTCAAGAGGATGGGGACAGTCTTTTTTCAGTGGTGCCCAGGGATAGGACAAGAGGAAATGGGCACAAACTTGAATATAAGAAGTTCTACCTAAACATGAGGAGGAGCTTCTTTACTTTGAGGGTGGCAAAGCACTGGAATGGGCTGTCCGGAGAGGGGGTTGAGTCTCCTTCTCTGGAGACATTCAAAATCCGCCTGGACAAGTTCCTGTGCAACCTGCTCTGGGTGGACCTGCTTTGGCAGGGGGGTTGGAGTACATGATCTCCAGAGATCCCTTCCAACTCCATATCATTCTGCGGTTCTGTGAAGCTTTCCTGCAATACTATGGGCATTAGAGGTTCCCTAGAGGAACTGCCCCCCACAAAGACTAGTTTATGGGAGGATGACTCAAGGATACAGAATGACCGTTTGCGTAGTGGGAGCTAGAAGAGAAAAACAGTTCCAAAGGGAAACAAACTCCACATTACCTCCTCAGAGGGAAGAAGACATATCTCAGACTGCCACATGATTTGTGGTGACAAAACTATTTACATAAGTAACAGCGTTACTATAATAACATATTAAGTAAACAGTCTTATTTAGTGCCGTCTTGCATGGAAGGTCTGTCCACACCTTAGCGATGATACAACCTAGTCAAACTTTGATGAGGAAAGACATTTTTATTATTTCTAGTTTATAACTCATACCCAAAAGAATATATTTTTTTTTAAGTGGCTCCTGGTTTGAGGGTGTCCAGTATGTATCTCCTTGAGCTTCACTGCTGCTGTGGCCCAGGTCTCATCTTGATGGTGGGATTTCTGAACAGTGAAGCTGAACAGCTCCAGCCTGCAGCAGCTTCTCAAAGTCGGTGCCTGCATTTGTCTACAGTCACAGACACACACGTATTTACAACTCAGGTGATGAAGAAGTAAAGCTACCTCTCTCAGGCTTTTGCTGTGGCAGTTTTCTCCCAACACGGTCTCAGAAGGTGGTGACTCCTGAGCTGACTGTAGGGGAGCTTCCCATCAGAAGCAATTTCCACATAAAATGTGGCCCTTCTGCACACTTGCTTGCACCCCTCCCATGAAGGAGTGGACAGACCTCACAGCCTACACATACAATGCTGTTGGAAGGGAGGCAGGCAGAGCTGACATGAGTCCTGTGCTTGGAATAAAGGAATGATGGATAGTGGAAGCAGGGGCTGAAGTGAGATGCTAGGGGAGCAGTACCTTTTTCTTTATTAGCATTGCTGGATGGGGGGCAAACATATTGTGGTCCAAATGCTGGGGAAAAGCTACACCACCCCAGCAGGCTCCTTTCCCTTATAGAATCATAGAATCATAGAATTGCCCAGGCCGGAAGGGACCTCCAAAGGTCATCTAGTCCGACCTCCCCGCAGTCAGCAGGGACACCCCCAACTAGACCAGGTTGCCCAGGGCCTCGTCGAGCCTCTCCTTGAATATCTCCAGGGAAGGGGCCTCAACCACCTCCCTGGGCAACCTGTTCCAGTGCTCCACCACCCTCACAGTGAAGAACCCTCTCCTAAAACCCTCCTCAGGGTGCCTCTGGCCCTCGCGAGGATCTGTTACTCCTCAAGCTCTGTTCATAACACACAAATCCCAGAGCCACATCCCTTCACGTATTCCTTCCCCAAGGCATGGGGAGAGGAGACATAACCCACAGGAGA